ATGGGCCAAATTTTATATATATATATATATATATATATATATATATATAATATATCCAAATCATTCTCCCAGCTTCTTCATCGTGGGAAGAATCTGATTAAGGACCTCTTGAAGAGTGAGTCCTGCTGCTATGACCTCTGTATCTCTGCCCTGAAAGGGCAGCTCTGGTCCCTTTTATAATCTTATTAACCCCACCCCTCCTCCAAACACACACAACACACACACACACACACATTACTTGTGTGATTAGCCGGGAGCCAGTGGAGTCAGGACTGTCAAGATGGCGACGGCCAGAGCTGACCACACTGAGTTTCATAACAGCTCTTCAGCAACCTATAGGTGATGCAACAGAGACGATGTCCATTTTTAATTATACAGTCTATAATGTATAATGTAACTCAATAGCAATTCTACGACTCCCCTCCTGGTAAAAGCCCAAGTCTTTTAAAACTCCATAGGCCTACCTTCCTGTTATGAATTCATAGTCTACATACCCAAGCTGAGATAAACATGATGACATCACTATGGCATCATTATTTTATCTGACTTTTATCCTCCAGATCCATGGAAGACATGCAAGAATTGTTTTCACAGGCTGAACTGCAACTTTATGTTTAAAATCAATGTGAATGCCCTCACTTACATAAGACACAGCAGTTGTCAGAACAGGCCTACAGATGCTGTTCTAAATAAAAAATGTTTTTATTAGGTTAAAATTCAGTGTCTTACATCTCCATTCTCCTGAGCATGTCACAGAGATGGGCCTCAGCAAATTACTGACAAAAGGCTGTTCACTGCATTGCTGCCAGCACTGCCACATTTTTCTGAATAATTGGAAGCTCCATGTTAACAGAGTTTGTCTTGTTAGTGTGAAAGAGATGTCAGGGGAATGAGAGAACCCTGTAACCTGGACGATCTAATGAGCCTATGGATTTCAGGTCTAATTGGGGGACGGTGAGAGTGAAATGGAGGCTTTGAGTCCCGTCGAGTGTGCTTTGTGCCAAATTGCGTAGTTTAGGGAATTGCTCAGACTCACGGAGAACTCGGAACACAAAGTAAGAGCAAGAACCTTGTGCCTTTCTGAAGGATCACTAAGAAAATTTCCTGATGAAACATTCATATTTTTCATGTTTTGTGTAAATATAACAACTCTGACAAGACTAAAAAAGTTGAGAATTATTTTGTTCCGGCAGTATCATCAGTGCAGAGGAAACAGCAGTAGCAAAGAGTATAAGCCTGATGATGCTTCCAATCCCACAAATCAACGCAACAACAAAAAGATGACAGACTGGAAGAAGTAGCGGGAGATTGCTATGAAGCTAGCCCGGAGCGACACTTTGCTGTCTGACTGAAACAGTGTGTCTGTAGATAAAAATAGTGGAGTAGTAAAAATCACAGCCAGATACACAGTTAGTTAGTTTTCACATCTCCTTCTGGAGTGGGACTGCTGCAGAGACACTGCTGCAGTTAGACTGGGAGACACTTCTATTCAAAGCTTTATGTTTGCAGCCTAATTATAACACTGAAATCCATGAATAAACATTGTTTCTGGCTTTTTATTGCAATTAAGATATCAACAGTCAGCGTGGTTCAGCTTTGATGTGATGAATATGACAGTTTAATTGATTAAATGAAGAACTGATCAAGACACTGACTGAAGTTAGCCTCTTAAACCCTAAATATCAATATCACATATACTATGTGTTCTGTACATGGAGGCCCAGGGCAACAATGATTGTCTCGGGCACTTTTTAACCCATTGCTCCTCCTACTCTGTGTGATTTGTGTATTTTTTTTCTTCAAGACAGGGCCTAAATATCATATAATAAAACAAAGCCCACCTTAAAGAAAGCCCACTTAAATGTGAAGCTATTAAAAGCCAATCAGCTATTAACAAATCAATGGTTGACCCACATGTAGATCCCTCTACAGTTACAATACAGCCATAAATGACCCCTAGTGGTCCGTGACTTGATTAGAAAATATCATGTTTTAAATTAAAAGTGTTTCTCAAACTGTCTGCGAGCAACTACAGATCTTATTTGGGAGTACCATGTATGTATTGTTTTCAAAATTAAGCCGGTTAGCAATTACATTCAAACATTACTAATACAATTGTCTGTTTGGCGGTGTTGTCAGGCTTCAGAATCAGACTCAGAATTAGGTTAATTGCCAGGTAAGTTTTTACACATACGAGGAATTTGTCTTGGTGCATTGGTGCATAAAATATACAAATCATACTTCAGCAATGTAGCTGGCCGTTTGCAACCATTTTACGACACTGCTACGGTGCCTTTTATGATTTACGTCATAAATGATCAGCGTGTTAATTGATTATCTAACTGTAAAGATCATGGAACGGTGGCTTAAGTCAGGGTCCAATAAAAGAAAATCAAATGAAATATCTGACACAACAAGTTAAGGCAAGATGCATCACCTTGATAGGAGTGCTTCAGCTAGCATCAAGTCCCTCAAAGTGAAACTCAGCAAGAACGCGGAAAATCCAGCACTAAAGTAAAACGAAAATACCACAGTAACTACAACAATTTAGGATTTTTTTGGACTAGTTAATAGCATAATAGGCTATGCTATTTATGTGTCCAAAATTGATTCATCTGCTCTAATATACTGTTGAAGTAGGCCTAAATTGTTTTGAAGAATACTTGGGAGTTAGCTGGTCCGTGATTTATTTATTTTTTTTTATTGACTAAGTGGTCCTTGATCTGAAAAAGTTTGAGAAACACTGCTCTATCAGAACCTCAGTCAATTTTCTCCTTTCCTGTACTTAGATATGCTACGTGCTAGCCAGGCTTGTCTATGTTGAAAAGACAACCATTTGCTGATCCTCATTCATCCCAGTATGGGCTAGAGGTCACAGACAAAAAAGCCAGCAAAACTACATTCTATGCAAAAAACAGAGACGCAATCCTGAGGCCACCATAATGGATAATCTCTGCCCCCCTGGTGTTCTCTCTCTGTTCATGAAAATTACAAACAGCAAAACACAAGACCAACTGAAAACCTGTCTGACTTCTGGCCAAGAATATTGACAATATCTCACAATGGCAGGCTCACAGAAATGGTCTTTGCACCTTGTATTCCCATAGCAACCTCCACAAGACACCCGATGGGACATGGTCATAAACCTTCTCTAAGTCCACAAAACTGCATGTAGACTGGATGGAAAACTCCTGTTCCTCCCTTACAAAGAAAATAGAACTAATGTAGTCCACTAGGTGCCTGACTGCCAAAGGACCAGTGTAGGATTTAGTGGTGTCTAGTGGTGAAGTTGCTGATTGCAACCGACTGAAACTGCTTGATTTCCAATAAAGAGAAACTACGGTGGCTGCAAAAAGCCCTAGCAAGAGCCAGTGTTTGGTTTGTCCATTCTTGGCTACTGTAGAAGTGGACCCAACGATTCATTTAATCATTTAATCATACATATTAATATTCCATTTCTGCCAGGAGATCCTTCTAAATGTTACACACTAGACCTTAGAAATTCTGTTGGATTTAACACTATTATGATTCTGTTCAGCCCTACAGGGAGTATTTGTGGAATGGAATTGTATAGATAATAAATGTCAACACAAAATATTAGCTATCAACGGCTTCTTTATAAAAGTATCAGTATCAGCCTTCCCAAAACCTTTATTGGTAAAATGTTATTAATTATAGCCATTTATGAAGCTCCAGTTAGAATGTAGATAGACTCGTCGAACAGCAGTTCTGCTTAAATTAATTCACTTTGATTTGGTAGAGAGGGATCAATAACTGCATTCTGTGTTATTACTACACTAGCAGAGGCCCAGGCTGATAAATCCGGCCTTCTTACAGTATGACAGACAGCCAGCTATGATCATCCTTTAAAGCCGACACTGTCACGTCCACAGATGATACAGTCATTTGTAATTCTCCTCCAGTTTATCCTTTGATTACTAACCATGACACTTCCACAGGAGGGACGGGCCCTAAAGCGATCAACACACACTCACACACACACAACGCTATTTACATTGTGATGATAAGCTCGTTAACTCTCTGTGGCTGATCAGTATCGCCCTCAGCTGCAATTCCCCAGCCAACCATTTGTCCTAGGTGAGATATCAGCAATCACCATTTTAAATGAAGAAAGGTGATATGGAATGCTAATTCAGCAGCTAAGATCAATACTGTTCACTGAAGGGGATAAAGTAATGCGGAGTACCTGGTACAGACGGCTGTCCTTGAGCTCTAAGTGAAAGACG